GGCTTTTTCAATGCATAAAAAGAGGAAACTTATACATTGCTTAACTGGACTAGTCAGATTCCAAGCAGATGATGGAAAGGAGCATAGGACTAGGCCTGGAATTAGGTCCTCACTTTCCCATTAAACTCACCAGTTGATATTGGGCCAATCACCAACTCTCGGTCTACTTCACAGGGTTGTTGTGAGGCTCAATAGAAGAGAAAAATATTTGTGGTTTTGAGGTCCTTGGAAGAAAAGCAGAGTACAGTGGTACTTCGGGTTAAGTACTTAATTGGTTCCGGAGGTCCGTTCTTAACCTGAAACTGTTCTTAACCTGAAGCACCACTTTAGCTAATGGGGCCTCCTGCTGCCACTGCACTGCCGGAGCACAATTTCTGTTCTCATCCTGAAGCAAAGTTCTTAACCTGAAGCACTATTTCTGGGTTAGTAGAGTCTGTAACCTGAAGCGTATGTAACCCGAGGTACCACTGTATGATGCAATAAATGGCATAAAAGGCATTGTCAATGACTGAGAGTAAATCTGGGCATGTCAGTCTGTGTTTGTGATTCTTCCCCAGAATTTGCGGGGTGCTTAATATTTATTATTCAAAGCATGGTAAGTGTTGTAGTAGTTGTAACGGTGTTGTGTTCAATTATGCCAAAAGGAATTTTTGTGTGTGTTAAAAACACACAACAACAACAACAACAACAACAACTTTGGCTGCCGTCCTAAATGCACCATGATAAGCCCCACTGAAAGCAGGAGGACTCAAATATACCGTATATTAAATATGTGTAGGATTTGTTTAAGGCATTTGACTTTAAAACAACAGCAGCAAACACATTTGCCTATCCGAAATTCTAATCTGTGTGATAAAATGTAATCTTTCTAAAATCCGCCCCCTTTTCTTAAATCCATGCCCACAGTTTGAAGGTCCAAAGTACAAATGGAGGAGGTTATTTCAGGACTGTGGGGTTTTAGAAAGGGTGGCAAGTCGCACCCCTTCTCTTCTCGCTCCCCCCACCTCCCCAGCCTCCACATATCCTCTTTTTTTTTTGCTTCCCGGTTTAACTCTTCTAAACCCAACTGAAGCGAATGACACACAAGCGGAGTCGCTCCTTTGGTGTCCGCATTAATCAATCTGACACGTCCATTCATGCCGTGGCCACGGGAAGGGAGTGTTAATCGTTGGTTCTCTTTGACTCTTGAAGTGTGTAGCATTCTGCCATATGCTGGTATTTTCCAGATCTGGCTCTCTTGGGGCGAGGGAATTAGTCGACCCTTAGTCTTCTGGGTATATATGGCTGGCCTGTCTACCCGTTTCGGGAAGGGAGACAGATAGACAAATTAGATGCATGGGAGGAGGGGGAAAGAGGCTGTTAAATGGGGGGGGGGGGAGCTGCTCCCATTCTGTTTATTGTAACAAAACGAGTTATAAGAAGTTCCCAGAAAAGATACGGGGAGGGGGGAATCCCATGTCAGCCGCTTTCCTGCCTGGTTAGTAAATTTCTCAAAGAGAATTTCCTAGCCACCCTGAATGGTTCAGATGCCACAATTGGCAAAGAGATGGATTTTTCATTATTATTTTTTTGTGTGGAGGCCTCGTAAGACCTTGCAATCTGGTGCATGTCTACTCAGAAGTTAGTTCGAATGGGTTACTGATATGCTTCCTTGAAATTCAGCCCCCGCTGAGTACAAGGGAACTTTCTGCTTCTTCTTGCAAAAACCGAAGCAGATTGTAGAAATAAGGCACGAGTCATTGAGGCACTTTTAAGTCCCTTTGATTTCGGTTTCCATGCTCAGAACTAAGCCCACTGTGTTCAGCGGGACATGTTCCCCGGTCAGTGTGTGAGTGCATGGGACTTCAAATAATTATTATCTATTTTTATTTTTATTATTAACATTTGTACGCCGCCCTGAGGCGGTTCACAACAGAAAAAATACAAAATGAGAATGCAAAATACATAGTGACACAGAAACGAACCAATAATCCCACCTCCCACAAACACAGTTTAAAGAGGAACGTTTTTGCCTGGTGCCTAAAGATGTATAATGAAGGGGCCAAAAGACCCTCGCTGGGGATAGCATTCCACAAATGGGGAGCCACCGCAGAAAAGTCTCCTCCACCCTCCCGACCTCTGCTGGAAGAGGAACACGAAGAAGGGAAGAAGGTCCACCAGAAAAGTGCTGATTGCTTTTTTCAAATCTCAGAAATAAGGTCCCAGATATTAGCCCTTGACTTCTCCAATTGAACCCAAGAACCTGAAGAAGCCAGAGTGGAAGAATAACTGGGGTTAGATGAAGACACCGTCTGCCTCCCTTACCCTCTTCCTCCTTTTCCAGATTCCCCTCTAATCCCACTTTTTATTATATCGGTGTGAACATGCAAGATTATATGGATGTGAACATGCAAAAGCACCTCCTTCCACTCTGGCCTGTCTGGCGTTGTTGCTGTAGCTTCACTTTTAGCCAGGCACCTGTTACTTTTCTCTCTCCTTCGTTCTAAAGTTGGCGGCATGCATTTAAACGGGGCGTCGTGGAGTGAGCCAGCAGCCCCGCTACACCTGAAAATGCAGACTGAATGAAGTTCGGGGACTCACGATTGATCTCTGGAAGAAAAGAACTTGAAGAAGGGAATAAATACCGCGATGCCCAACCGAAGTCCCAGTTAAGTCGCAGCGCTTGAATTTAAGCCGACTTTGGTGTCGCTGAACGACACTGGCTGGACAAAACACTCTGAATTTCAGTCCGGAGTGAAACCGATTTAAGTAGTGCTAGCACCAAGAAGACTTTAATCGGTTTAAATCCAGACACTGCACCCACGCAGTACATTCAAAGCGCCTTGTCCCTCTCTGGGAACTCTCGTTTAACTCTCACAGAGCTATAGTTCTCAGCACCCGTAAGAACCACATTTCCCAAGATTCTTGGGCCAGAAGGAAGAGGAGAGAGATGTGTGTTTTAGATGTACTTTAAATGTGGATCGGGCTGACAGATGGCTGCAGCAATTCTTCACCCGAATATTTGGGGACGGGGAGGGTCACTTAAAGGAAAGGTGGATGAGTTCAGAAGCAAAAGGTTTGAGGGTTAGCTGCTAGACGGATGGCAGGTAGCGGGACAAATTTAAGGAGTAAGTCGCCCGGCAAAAGCGACCTGATTCCAGAACTATCCGACGTGGGATGGGGGAAGTCTTACGCCCCACCCACTGCTGCACTCTTTGATCCGAGGCATCCTTTCATGGAAGTAAAAAAAAAAAAAAAAGGCCCGTTGATTGAAAGTGAATTAAATGAATTGAGCCTCTCCACCAAAAAAATCAGAAATCAAAGGAACGCTGCTTAGGGTCGCATCCTCTGTAGAGCATCATTCCACACACAGTGATAACGTTTCCAAAGACATCAGAGGGGAAATTGGAGGAGCAGCCGCAGGAGCAACTCCCTACCGAAGTTGATGCTCTGAAGTGACCGAATTTCGGAATATATCGTTTAAGAGAGCGAAAGGGAAAGTGCCAGACGTGGTGAGGGGGGTTTCTTGCCTCCCCCTTGCAAACTGCAACGGAAGAAATGCGCTTGTTGAACGTCCCCGTCCTCTTCATGGGCGTAGCCAAGAGGGGGAAGGGAGGGGCAGCTGCCCCCCCAATCAATAATAATCAATAAAAATACATAGCAAACTGAGGTTCTTTAACAAAAGGCCTGTCCCCCCTAACAAAAATCCTGGCTATGCCCATGCCGCTCGTCCTGCCTGAGCGAGCCCGCGGGGGGGAAGGGGGACGTGGGCTCGGTGCTCCCCCCGGCTCCTTACCTCCGGCCCTCTCCCCCTCCTCCACCCCCGCTACTTCCCTCCCCCACCATAACCCGCCTTGTGGTACTGATCAGAGTTCTCGGACCGAGGCAAAATAAGCTCTCGCCCCGCTCCCGTCCCGTCGATCAGCCTCGCCTTCGCCGGGGAAAGAGTTAATGGTCCTTGCCGGGCCGCTTGCTTCCACACACCACGAAGGTAAGTCACAACCAAGCCCGCGCGCCGCCTACGTTCAAACCAGGCGAGCGGGTTTTCCCTTGACAGACAGACGGGCAAGTCAACGCGACGGCAGCCGACCTAGCAGGTGATCTGGTAGCAGAGAAGCAAGGGGCCGGTGAATAGGTTCCCTCCCCACCTCCCGCCGTCCAGGAGACAAATATTGGGGGGCCCGGGGTCTCCTTCTCCTCCGCCGTTAGCTCCCTAAGGATTTCGGGCCCTCCTCCTCAATTCAGGACCCCCCTCCCCGCCAGTTAAGTCTGAATTGCCATAGGGAAAGGGGTGCGTTTGGATGCGCTCGTTATCCCGTCCCCTGCCTTCAGGATCTGTCCCGGTGCGCCCAGGTGCGCACCTCGGAACGAAGCGCCGCCTCCAAGTGGAAGAGTGTTTCCGAGAAAACTTCGCCAGGAAACTGTCGAGAGAGCACTTTTTTTCCGCGAGAGAGAGAGAGAGAGAGATCCGCGCGGACCAACTCTCTCTCTCTCCCCTTCGACGGGCAAGTCGCTCCTCGGAGAGGGAGAGGAGCGAGAGCCAACGAAGCGCGCGTTCAGTTTGGGGATCCTCGTGAGCGATCGCGGCCAGGGTGCGATTGAAGCGGAGGGGACCCCCCCCCCCCCCGTCGAGAAAGGGGGAGCCGTGGCGGCCCCGTCCGCTCCCTCTCCTCTGCTTCTTCGACAAGCGAAGCCGGATGGCCGGCTTTTTCCGAAGAGGAGGGCGCAGGGTTTCCAAAAGGAAAGGTCCCGGAGAGATGTCTCCGAGTGCGCACGCGCCCCGTTTTTCGGGGGGGGGCGGGCGGAGAGGGAAGGGAGAGAGGGAAACACCCCCCTGGCCCGCCCCTCGAAGGCCTGCGGCGGCGTGAATGGGAGACGGAAACGCGCTCTCTTTAATCAATGGGACGCGGGGGAGGGAGGAGGGGAGGAGCCGAGGGGGGCCGCCCATTCACTCGCCTGACACCCCGCCCCCCTCCTCCTCCTCCTCCCCCGCCTCCTGCCCCCAGATACACACGCTGCCCATGCACCATATAGGCGAGCCTAATGCCTTCGCCAGCGCACAGGGAGCAGAGGCTGCGTCTCGGAGGCAGCTGGCACCCAGCGCTAGGGCGAGATACGGATATAAATGCAGATACGGAGAAGGCGCTTCCAATCTAAGGGCTTTGCGCCTGGATCGTCCGTCGTCGACACCGGCCGCGTTTTCAGCTTTTGTTTTGTTTTGTTTTGTTTTCCCCCTCCTCCCTCCTCCCTCAGCCGCCTTCCGGCCCCCACAGGCTCCCTCTAAACTTCAGCGGAGCGGGGCGGGCGGGAGGAGCGAGCGGGCAGAGGTGGAGCCGACGGGAACTTGCGGCAAGTTTGCAGCGAGATCGGGAGAAAGGAACCGCTCCGGAGAGCGCTTGGCCGCCGCAAGAAGCGCGATTCGTCTTCCTACTGCGCCTTCGACGGCTGCAAGGAGCTGGTCGTGGCGAGCGCAGGAGGGGTGCTAGCGGCTGAGCAGCCCGGAGGGGAAAATCCAGCCCGGGATCTCGAGGGGAAGGTCGTCAACCTGTTTCAGGAAGAGACCAGCGAGCGAGGATGACGGCCGGAAAGGAAGCGCCTCGCTCCCCGTCCACATAGGAAAGTTGACGGAGAGAGACGGGCGGGCACCGGACAGCCTGCCTGAGGGTCTCTGCGGGAAGCGGACAGCTCCCGTCTCCCTCTCTCTGGCAATCCAGATCGACTTTAGATTGGTGCATTGGACTTCAAAGAATAACACTCGTAACTAAGTTTTTTGGCCTGCTCGCACCGTCGGGTTTAAACTTTTCTCGGCGGCCAGTCATGCTGCCGGTGACGACAATCCGGGGCTCCTTTGCTGTCCTCCAGTCGGCTGTCAAATGCCCCGATTCCCGCCAAGAGTAAACGCCAGTCGGACTTGGGTGTTGCAGGGAGCGCTTTGCTCGAGCTAAGGAGCGGGCCATTGGAGGGCGGGGGGCGTCGGGGAACGGGACCCGAGGAGCAGGAGGAGAACCGACGGCGCGCCTAACTACCGCCAGTTATAGGCCGTGGCAGGGAGACTGCGGCGGGGTTTTGCCGGAGCACGTTTCTGGGTTCGGAGAGAGGGGGCAGGCACCCCTGAATTTGGGCGTCCGGAGCGCAGGAGCCACCATTGATTTCTTGCGGGTGGCTCGCAGCGACGGGCTGGGCGCTGCCGCCGCCGCTGCCGCCGCTGCCGCTGCCGCCGCGGGCATGGCCAAGCCGGTGGACCACGTCAAGCGGCCCATGAACGCCTTCATGGTGTGGTCGCGGGCGCAGCGGCGCAAGATGGCTCAGGAGAACCCCAAGATGCACAACTCGGAGATCTCCAAGCGCCTGGGCGCCGAATGGAAGCTGCTGAGCGAGGCGGAGAAGCGGCCCTTCATCGACGAGGCCAAGCGCCTGCGGGCCATGCACATGAAGGAGCACCCCGATTACAAGTACCGGCCGCGGCGGAAGCCCAAGACGCTGCTCAAGAAGGACAAGTTCGCTTTCCCCGTCGTGCCCTACGGCTTGCCCGACGCCGCCGAGCATCACGCGCACCATCTCGGCCACCACCACCCGGCCCTCAAGGCGGGCGCCCTCCACGGCCACGAAGCCCTGCTGGCCAACCCGGAGAAGGCGGCCGCAGCCGCCGCTGCGGCGGCCGCGCGCGTCTTCTTTCCCCCGACGGCAGCCGCGGCTGCGGCGGCTGCTGCAGCGGCCGCTGCCGGCAGCCCTTACTCTCTGCTCGACCTGGGCTCCAAGATGGCAGCGGAAATCTCCTCGTCGGCGTCTGGAGGCTCGGGCGGAGGAGGCGCGGCGTCGGGGCTGCCTTACGCCTCATCGCTGGCTTACCCGACGGCTGGCGGCGCTTTCCACGCGGCGGCGGCGGCGGCTGCCGCGGCTGCGGCCAGCGGCGGCCACACTCACTCGCACCCGTCCCCGGGTAACCCGGGCTACATGATCCCCTGCAACTGCAGCGCCTGGCCCAGCCCGGGGCTCCAGCCCCCGCTGGCCTACATCCTCCTGCCGGGCATGGGCAAGCCCCAGCTGGACCCCTACCCCGCGGCCTATGCGGCGGCCCTATGACATCCTGCCCCCCACGTTGGACCCCTGTACAGAGGAAGCCTGTGGGGCGCCTGGGGGCTGGACTCCGACGCCGGACTCTAGCCGACGGGACCCTCTTCTTCCCAGCCTGATGCTGCTGTTGCCGCCGCCGCCGCGGTGCCCTCCAGCCATCTATTCTACGGGGCCGCCGACTGGGGTGTCCGGACGAGAACATTTCGCCTCTCCATCCGTCTTGTCGCCTCCCTCGCCGCCCGTCCATTTCTTCAACCTGTTGCCTTCCCTTCCCCACTCCAGAATCTGCTCGCGCTGATCCTCTCCTCGGGTTTCCTCGACGGATTTGTTGGAGGGTGATGGGTGGAGAGAGAGGAGAGAGGTCGCGCGTCTCCCGGTGGAGACGCTTCGGGTAGCCCGTTGCCTTTTCTGCTCGACGTCTCTTGGGATTGCCTTTTTCTTTTCTTTTCTCTCTCCTTAACCTCTCCCCCCCCCCCAAATCCTCCTCTCTCTCTCTCTCTCTCCCTCTCTCTCTCCACACCCCCTCTAAATCCTGTCCTGTCCACAGTAGGTCCAGAAAAACGGACCCAAAGCCATCAGCCTTGACTCCACGCTGAACCAAGTGGACGAGGCGCGCACAGCTAACCACCCCGCGAAATAAGCAGAGTTTGATACCTCGCTTTATGAGGAGGAGATCGGGTCACTCAAAGGAGAATCAGTATGCACTCTCGCTGTTGATTTCCTCCTAGCTCCCCTCCCTTCGCCCTTCCCCCTTTTAATGTATACCCCAAAGTTCCCCATGACAACTTTTGTAATTCTGGAGAAGGGACCTGTAAATGTCTACATGCGCGTGGGAGCTTTAGGTGTAAGACTGCTTCGCTGTATTATCTGAGTCACTTTTTTAAAAAATGAGATATAGATATATATATATTGGCTGCGATCCTAAGCACACAGTACCTTGGTAATGGGTCTCGTTGCCATCCATGGGGCTTGTTTCCAAGCAAAACTGTGCAGGAGCTGGAGTGCCATAAATAGACAGCGCCAATCACAGCAAAACACCACCGAGGCGAATTGCAACAGACTGCGAAATCCCTTTTTGGGGGGTTTCGGAGTTCAAACTAAAAATAAAAATCAGACTTCTTGTCTGAGAGATAATTCTATACTTTCTGTGATGTTGGCGTATCCAAAATTGCTGTGTTTCGAGCGAAGACGTTTGAAATCCGCTCCCTTTCGGACACCTTCTCACGGCAAAACCTGGAGTGCTTCCATGCGATTTGGCCCGACTGGGGAGGTGGGGGAAGGGAGAAAATATTCTTCTTATTATTCTTTTAAATAAAAGCATACAGGATTCAGTTGCAGGAAATGATTTTGGAGGGCGGGGGAAGTCATTCTGAGCAATCTCTTCCATCATGACCATTTTCGTTTACTTTTGTAATGTGTATATTTGGATTAATGTTTGTGAATCAAGTTGGCTAACCTGTATTTAGTTTCCTTTCCTTTTGTTTTTCGCTTTCTGTAATATAAGGTTTTTGGAGGGGGGGTAAGTTTTTAAGTATTGGTTTTAACATTTGACGTGTATAAATGAGTTTGCTGGTGTGTTCTAATTTAAAATTAGACGTCTAAGCTATATCTGTACATTTAGAATCCGACTTACCACTCTGTTCATTTTGGAACAATGAGTTTAAATAAAAGCCTGAAGCAGGGGAAAGAGAAAAATACTCTATTTCTTGTTGAGTTACTTACAAGATTTTAATCTCAATTGCCCTTACCTGCCTAGGCCAGGTGAAGTGTAAGGTATCCTCCAAAGACTTTCTTTGTTTCGCTTTTGAATAGATTGACTAGGAAATCTAAATCAGACCATTGTAAGGTAGAACTAAACCCTGATTTATCACATTTGAAATCGTGAATAGGAAAGTAGGGTCCCCCCCCCCTTAAAAAAAATAAATCCAAGTAGCTCTATTATGTGGGGGATGGGTGGGTGAAGAAAAAGAAACAGCATTCATTTGTTTGTTGGATAAGACACACAGGGAACCCTGAACCGGTTTCCGTGTAGTGTTTTCAGAGTAGAAAGTTGTTTGCCTGCTCTGTCTTCCCACTACAAAGGGCTTCTCTGCTTCAAATCTGTGCAATTTGCTAAAAGTATCCTTGGGATATTTCTTATATTGCACACCTTGAGGTCGTCACCTGGCACTCAGGACATGTCGTCCGGGCCTGTTTGTTTTCAGTCTGAAGCAAATAATTAAAAGCAGAGCGAATGGGGAGCCACCCCGGTTAAATAACCTCTTTTAAGGACCATTGATTTCAGTGGCCAACGTTTGCATGCCGCCCTGTTAAAATTCAGCGGGCACTTACTTTAACGCTGCACCCCTAAAAAAAAAAAAAAAGCCTTTAAAATTTCATCCAGGTAAGCACATATCAGATCGGTGTGCCCATCTGCAATTCTTGGCAACCTGGACTTGGAAGTGTTTCTCGCTCCGGTTACTTTCGAGAATCCATCCTCAGGGCTGGGGTGGCACTCGGTTTCCATTGAGCCGGTTTCTTAATTTGTTGAGGAGAGAAAGGAGGATGGAGAAAGGCTCATTGAGCAAGCCTAAAAGGGAGGGGGGCTACTACTTCACCCAACGGAAGGGGAATCAGCTAGAAATAAAGCCCCCTTCAATCAATTTCAGCTTCCAAATCTATTTTATTAGCTGGAGGAGTTAGCTCCCTGTTCCAAGGCTGGGCCCAACGTTTGCTTAGGAAGGGATTTCTTCTTGCAACTCCCCTCCTCGCTGGACGAAATTGAGTTTCCTTGTGCAACACCCCCTCCTCGCTGGACGAAATCTCCAGCGCCTTTCTTGGCACGGTTGCTTGGAGGCAAGTCCCGCGGAAAAAGCAAGCGGGTCTTGGAGGCAAGTTGCTTGGAGGCAAGTCCCGCGGAAAAATAGGCACCGGTGTGCACACGTGCGATTGCTTCCCAAGCGCGTCTTTGACTCGGAAAGAGCTTCAGTGGGACAATCTCAGCCGAGTATGCAGAGGACTGGAGCCTTAGTTTTTCGAAATGAAATGTGTGTGTGTGTCTGTGCATTTTGCGGGGTGTGGGTCGGTGGGATTCTGCGTGGAAGGTGGGAAACACGTCCGAGCAAGGATGTCTTTCCTGACCTGGCACTGCTCATTAAAGCGATCTTCCTTTGTCGCCACTCCAGCTGTCCCCCCACCCCCCAATATCCTAAGTGAATTCATATGGTTAGGAGCGATTATGCAAAACTAACTCGGACTGTCCAGGGGTAATTAGCCTTGACACGGTTAATTAAATCCCTTTCAGGGCTCGCCATCCTCCACCCCCCTCCTTTTGTGGCAGCCCATCATTGCTTCACATGGAACTTCCTGCTGCTCTCTAGAAATCCCAGCCCTAAATCTTCCTTGACCCCCTCTCTGTTCTGTGGACTCTCCTTGGACTCGAGGACCCGGGAGGCACCGCTAGCTTCTTCTTAGGCGCCGTAGGGCCTTATTTGTTAACTCCTAAGGCCCGTCGGGGGGCTGTTCACCAAAGGAGAGCTTATAAAGGGTGGCTTCCCCTCCTCTCCACCCCAGAAACCCCTTTGCAATGCACGTGGAAATGGCGTTTCTCGTCCGCCTTGGACAAGAACGCAGAACAAGGGGGCAGAAATAGCTTCAGATTAATCAACCTACCCCAAGATTAATCAATCTTGTCCACTTTTACTGAGATGTAAATCGATTGGCAGGACTGACCGAAGCCCTAAAGGATCCTCCATCCTCTAGTAATAGCAATAATGCACGTTGTGATCTTGTGTATGCAACCGTGGTAAACTTTCGACCAACTTTGCCGCCTTCTAGAAAGGAATAAACAGAAGGGTGAATCGTTTGTTTTCCCCAATAAGCGGGATTGTGCGTGGAAATGAGTCCCACCAACAATTAGTAAGGCAGCCTTACTGCTAAGTAAATGATTTTAGTTTTAATTTCTTCGCATTCCGCTCGGGACAGGGACCCTGGCAGTCAATCGGTTTTTGCCCAAGGATCGGTGGCTTTTGCAAGATCAGAATTTCCCCTTGCAAAGTTCAAACGTGCAAAACCTTTCAAAAGAGGAAGCGAGCTGGCCCAGGGCTGGCGCAGAGATCACGCTCTGGTCCTGTTCTTCACCCAAGGGCGGGGGTGATCCCAGCCACCACCGCCTAGCAATTAATTTGCAACGACGTTGTCCACGGTCTCCAAGTATTTGAATAAGTACTTGAAGCAACCATCTCTTAATTGCAGTCTGGGTTAAACAGAGACCGATGAAAGTATGGAATGGGTGTGTGTGTGTGTGTGTGTTTTTGAAAATGGGCAACTTGTTTCCTAACTCCCGTACCTCCCGCCCCATGCCGTGGAAGGGAACCCAGATTTCTCCCGTGCAGGTCACTTCCGACGGAGGCCGAAGATTCCCGGAAAGAATGCAGAGGAGGCGAAGATTCCACTAGAGAACGGCAAGAGCGCCAACATTCCACCAGAGAACACCGGAGAGCTCAAGATTCCACCAGGGTCCCTTCGACGACAGGGGTTAGAGACGGAGCAGCGGCCGGCGCGACCGTTGGGGAAGACAACACTTCAGACCTGGAGATCTGGAGCCCCCCAGATGGGACGGAGGAGGCGACGGCTTCTTGGAGGGGGACCCGGGACGGCGCGCAGCACTTTTGCCCGGAATAAGGACGACACCGCCCGTCCCCCCGAGCACCAGTCGCCCCCCCCCCGGGCCACTCACTGCTTTAGAAACTTTCCTAATCTCCCCCTCGCCCCTATCCACCCGGCCCTTCCCTTTCTCTCCTCCCTCCCGGTATCCCTCAAAGGTCACCACTTCCCTTTTCAAAGACTGATATTATTAATTCGCGGACAATTTCCCTCTCCTCCGCAAGCTCCTTTTCCTCTTTCCCCCCTCTTATTCTCCCCCCTCTCTCTCACACACACAAGGGAAATGGGGGCAGGGAGAGAAGGGACCAAATCGAGAAACGCTCTCTTTCTCTCCCCCCCCCCTTTCCCTTTCTCCTCTTTTTTTT